TGCTGTTAACTGTAGAGAGATGATGGCGGAGAAGGCGGTCTATGCATATTTCATAAGCAATTACTAAGCAAGGTCTGCGAAAAGCTCGTAGGCGGCTTTTAGTCATTTGTCGTTGTGTTGAGTTACCAAAGGAAAACAAAAAATAACAAACATCAGCCAAAAAATTAAATCGCCACTCGTCCAACTGAATTGGCGCAGATGACAAGAAGTGCTCAAAAGTGGGCCACATAATTTATGATTTCATTTTATGACAGCACACACGCAATCCCCATACTCATGCTATCCACCCTATTGTTCTTCATGCTCTTGTTTTAGCCTTTTTTAAGTCATTGCTTCCTATTATTTTGTTATTAAATTACACAAAATTGCTTTGAGTTCAGGCCGTGTGTGTGTGTGACCTTTCAAAGTTCAAAGCGATTGACAGCCTCCTCTCAAATTCCAAATTCCATCCCATTAAAAGCTGATTTTGTCGTATTACATTTGCCCAAGCTATAAGGCGTTGTGATGATTTCTTTTATTATTAATTTTTTGTTGGCTTGGCTGTTGCTTCCTAATGGATAATAAATTGTGGTTTCACTCTCATTAAAATGAATTACCTGTGACAATAAATAAAAGTCATATGCCAGGGGTGACTCAAAATGTCAGGTGTTTTAAAAAGAGACTTGAAAACCAAAGTAATATTAGAAAAATTAGTATGATGAACCCCAACGATTACTGATTGTGTTTTAAATTTATTTTACAACTAATAATAACGATAAAATTAGTAATTAAAGTAATAACATAAGTATTTTCTTTATAATTAAATTAAAATTTACTGCTGATACTTTAAAGTCCTTGTAGCTTCCATGGAAATTGATTGATTTGCTACATCGCCCACCAGTCGTCCTTTTCGACTGTCCTGCTATCCCGAATCAACTGCTGCACACATTGTACTATGTTATCAAGAGGCCCAGCAACACATTGCCAAATTACGACTTGATTATCTCGCCTAGCCATCGCCTAACAAAAGGCAACAATTATCTTAATGCCAGGTGCAAGAAATTAATGTCCTGTAAGCACATTTCAACACAATATAACTAACGAAGACTGGGACTATGACTGCGACTATGAGTATAACGATGTCATCGCACTTAATCTCCGATAAAGGCGTGCGTCCTTTGTCCCCCTTTTCATAGGCAGAAAGGAGCAGCAAGTGAGCAGCAAAATATAGATTAGAGAAAAGGTAGCGACAAATCGTTCCACTGCCGAGTGGAACTAGAACATGACTTCGAATGCCTCAAACCCATTACAGGAACTCCTCGTGGTCCTTTTTTCTTTTCCTCTTTTTTTTTTGCTGCCTTTCTGCGCTTCGTTGTCATTGGGTGTCATCTATTTGTATTTTTATGTGCTTACTGTCAACGAAATAATTGACTAACATTGTGTTTGCAGGGGTTAGCTGTGAGTGGTCCGAGGTGACCGGCCAGGTGGGTAGCTGTTGACATCTTAAGTGAAAGGCAGAGTAAGTGTCAGGAAACCGGAAATGTTTTAACTTATATTCGGCTTGAAGGGAGGATGGTAGGCCATATAGGGTATAACAAGAAATCAGTCAATTTTAATGAGTTAAAGTAGTACTGCAATTAAACTTTGGTATTCATATAAAAAAATTACGTACCAAAATAAACTCCAATGACAGCATAGTAAATCATTGTCAAAAAACAACAAATGTCTATTAATAAAAAAAGTAAAAGGTCACAGCTTTTAAATTTTATCTGATCCAAAAAATGATTATTCAAATGCAACTAGAACGAACTTCAAATCACTTTTTCTCTCTACTTCCTTAAATATATAAAAATGATATTAAAGAACACAAACGCTGGTCGACTTGAGATTGCTTGAGTGATTATCATGTAAACTAAAAAAAAAGGCTAAATAGTCGTTTACTTCAGCCCTCTTTTTTAGGCTTATTACTTGGTACACAATATTTCTTTCAGTCTTTTTATGGCTTAAACGCGGGCATACTCTTAGGCTTTATGCGTTTCCAATGCATTGAGCCACAGCAATATACAACAGAAATCGGTGAAACTTTTACGAGTTTACCAGTGAAGTCCACCTGTTCAGCATACAAAACTAGAAGCCGTTTTCCCTTTGACTACCCTATCATATACATATCCATACTACCGGCAATATTTGGTGCGTGGGGAAACCAATTTCCTTGGCGTAGCACTTACTGCTATTTTGGTAATATGACCATTTTATGACTCACGCATGTGTAGGCGTTTTGGAAGCCAAAGGGAGGTGCTAAAGCTAAACACGTACTACAGGATGGGGCAGGCTTCATCGCTGGAGAGTAGGCAGATGAAATATGTGCACAGCAGCGGCACCTGCTTTTTTTAATGAAACAATCTCTGCAAATATGATATTTTGTATGCAAACATGCAAAATATTGTTGCGGGCCCCACCAAAAAGAAAAAAAGGTAGAAAAAGCGCACTCGTCGTAAAAATAAATAAGCCAGGGCCCATGCTGAGCCACGTTGGATGGTTGGAAACGGTGGGCTACCCGCGTCTTACGTAAGAAAATAAATAAACAAATATTTGCGTTGACAATAAGCTGCGAAAAGAGAGTGGAATATACGCCCCAGAAAATGATTTTTCTGGAATTTCAAGAGATTAACAAACTTTTTAAAAATGTACTCTTCTCAGATAGCGAGGAAAAGTAATAAAAGAGTTGATATCTTCACTTTATAAATAAAATACATCATTAATATCATTTTAACAGCGGGTTATAAAATATCTAAAAATCGGAGCCATAACTTGAAGTCAAAAGATTATCGGTTTAATACATCAAACTTTTAAGTTTAAGCAAAGAAAATTGTCTGTTGCATTTTAAATAAGAACCCATTTATATATATATATATAAGTGTGTTTTTGTCATTTTTATTTACAAGCTACCCCCAAAAAAATCCTTGTCATTTCGTGAGCTGGCACTCAATACTCGTTTGAGATATTGTATATCAATAATTCAATATTTATTTTCATTTTTGTCGCAATTTTCGGTTTCTTATTTTGCAGCTCAGATGAAAGTCGTAACGAGGAAATTTAATCTTTTTTCACGTAGCTTTTTTTTGTATCTTCACCTCCTGGCATTTCACTTCCTTGTGCTCTTCTCTCCTTCCCAAAAAATATACGCCAATATTTTTTGTTTTCATGGAAGGAGCCGAAAACCCAATTAGTTGACGATGACGACGTCGATGCCGGCATTTGACATCACAGTAAACGAAACTGACTGACTAGACCTTTTGGCACCAGATACCCATCGAAAATTCTACTCCAAATTGTATTTAAAAAATACATCAAATGGTGGTCATCTATATTTTTGATTCGCTTAGATTTCCCTTACTTGCAATCGATAATCAAATCAAAAAATAATGGTGGACAAAACTAGATTGACTTTGTATTTATTTATATGTTGGTAGGTTACGGGCTTTTTATTTTCCGGAGAATGGATGCGGAAGTTATTATGTTCTCTATTTCATTTTTCAGGTTGATCAAAGTTTATGGGGGAAACACCTACATAAGTAAGAAATTTTGGAATATAAGTTAAATTATCTCTTATTTTGAAAAAGCAGTTGATTGAGTACATAAGAGTATTGAATAATTATTTACTAAGCGTTCTTTATTTTTGCAAGTAATAAAGATACTTTGCATTGCTTATCGGGTCTATCACTCTGTCTTTGTGCCGCCCACAAATCTATATGGAATGTCGAACATTTTCTACCGCCTTCTGCCCACCCCACTTATTACAATTTTGTGCCCTGATATTTCTCAGGCTTTTCTCTTTGGTCATTTGCACACTTTACATGGCTCCGCCTTGTAGTCCCAGCGGAGGAGGACATTTGTCTGGTTGTCCACCAATGTGTCCTGCAGCCATATTATACCGCCCAACGTTTCCGTTTCCTCCTTGGTTCGGACTTGGGCTCCTACTCCCAGCCCGCTTTTCCAACAAAGCTGTCAACAAATTAACTGTGACGCTTATGGGGAAGCGGACATATGGGTGGGGTCTATAAAGAGGGGGGAAAGGACCGGTGGGAGAAGGGGAGAGGACTGTTTTCAGGACGATTGGGCTCGACATGCTTGGCATGTTTTGTTGCCCAGTTTTAGGCGAGAATATGTGTCGTAAATTTACCCCCGCATTTCCCAAAGGGACCAAACTGCCAGCTGCTTTTGGCCACAAATATTGAACAATTAGCTCTGCTCATGGCAAACATTTACTGGTGATTTAAATTTTTCTCCCCATTCTAACCGCCCGGGGAGTTCTTTAAATGCCTTTTTAATCTATCACACTGAGGGACCCTTTCATTAAAGAGCATTCGCAATTCAACGTTATTTTTGGTGTTGGCAATTGCTGGGGCTTATAAACGATATATATTTTTTATACAAATAATTCTGGTACGTGTGGTAATGATGCCGACACGTGACAAGGCGACAACTAGGGAGAGCAGAAAAGGCAGACGGAGCGTAAAGTAGACAAAAGGCGCTGAGATATATTTTTGGGAATATTTATTATGGCAGCCTGCGAAGGTGTATAAATTTGCATGAGAAACTGACTGGAAGAAGGAAACTCTGAAGCGGTGTATCATGTGTGTGAGTGTGTGTGTGTCTATGTGTGTGTGTGAGATCCTTGAGCAGGAGAAAAGCACTGCATAAACAAATAAACAAACAATACATAAATTTTTGAGACCAACGAGAAATGTATGTTCGGCTCCTTGTGTCGAGCACGTTCTCCTCCTTTTTTCCATTCCATTCTTTGTCGCCTGACAATGTTCTTGGCTTTTTGACGTTGTCCTGCTGAGCTCCTTGACTATTGTTCTTGTTTTTGCGGTGGCTTGACATTGGCTTTGATAACAATAATAATCATAATAATAAGAGCCTATAATAACAATCATTTTGTGACCCCTAAATGGTATACACCTTAGCTCAGGTCCAACCCCCTTTTATTAACGAACACAATTCAAGGTATTTTTTATAGACTGTATATTTTATTTTATTTGTTCTACAAAATTTCTTTATTTATGACAATATTTATATTTATAACAATATTGAGAGGCCATACATCATTGTCGTCTTAGGAGCATCTGCAATAAATAGGAAATAAAAACATTTATAAAATTAGACCAAATGTTTATTCACAGTTAATAAAATGTATTTTTTGTATTTTTTTATTTATAGGTGATGTCAATGAACCGAAAACTTCTGAAGAACCGAGGAAACAGAAAAATATAAATAATGGTTATGTTTCAAAACGTGAGTATTGTAATAAACATTTAATAATGCTGGTACTAATATTTAAAGAACTCTTATTAAAGTATGTTTATAAAACTAAGAGATATGCAGTTATTTAATAAATATACAAAAATGTTTTTATAAGAAATAAAAACAAAATAGTGCTGTAAGGGATTGATTTAATTTAACATATATCAAATGGTTAACAATTACTATTTCGGATGTTAAATGTTTGGTAATGCCAATTATTACCTGAAGTCTTAAATTAAGACACATTAAAATCGCTAGAACAAAATTATAAAATGCTGTTTGCCGAAAAATACAAAATATCGATGTCTGTTAAACATGTTAATGCTGACTAATAATATATATTATCAATATAATTGATAAGACATGAATGAATAATGATCGCTAAAACCAAATTATTTAACCTGCTGCCTTTTAAAATCCGATGCACACATGACCCTAATAAAAAAAAAACCAACCCATTCAATTCCTTAATATTTTAAGTTTAGTACGTATGGCTGTTTTAAAGATATTAGAATTTTTATAGACACTATAACAAAAAATACAAAACCAATAAAAAGATTACGACTTTGGTTAATTTTAAACAATAAAATGCCAAATTAAACAGTTGAAGCATACTTTTCAAATATATAAGAAGATTAGTTCAATAGTTTATCGTAGAATAAACATTTCACTTTTAAATTTCTAACTTTTAAAAGTGAAATATTCATTCATTACAGAATTCTACGATAAAATGTTTTTTTTAAAAGAGAAATGTTCGTTCATGACAAATTATTATTTTATATTTAAAACACAGGTACAAGAAGTTCAGTAAGGTACTTTTGTTTTAGAGTAGATTGATTGTTATGAATAAAAAGTTACATTTATTAATTTCTTACAATTGTAAGAAAATAGAATAAAAATATTGATGAAAATTCGATCAACGACACACAGAATTGGCTAGCAAATAGACAGTAAGCATTGGAATTTCCTCACACTGGTCATGCAAAAGTCTTTCGGTTGGCTATCACATTTCCATCTCTTGCTCATTTGTCAGGACTTGTCAAATCCGGTCAACAACTTAGCACACCCTGAGTTCTACCCTAAGGGTTTATTTTTTAGCCATCCCTCTTTTTTTCGATTATCAATTCGCTTACGTGCCAAGGCGGACTTGAGAAAGCTTTTCAAGTGTCTAGACTTCTGACAACTATGGAATGAATGCAGTAAACAGTTGGCCAAGCATATTTGCCTTTCACTCAAAGGACCCTGGGAATGAGTTGGGGTGATTTTGATCTGTTCAGAAAAAGAACGACGTATCCTGGCTTAATTACTGCGCTTGGTTGGACGGGGAAAGCCCCCAATCGAACTGATTTGATTGTGGGCCGGCTCGTTTAATGCAATATGCCCCATAAAGAAGCCTTTTGTGTGCGAGTGTGAGTGTCTCCGCACCGAATGCGGGTCCTTTCAAAAACTTTGTAAACCGGTCAGGGATATCCTTGTCATACAGCACACACACAAAAGCAACAAATTAAACTGTTCCTATTTGCAAATGAATTGTGCGTGGCGTAATTTCGCAGCAAAACTTTCTAAGGGATAAGGCAGGATCGATGTGATGGTTTGCACAGGGCACACACGTTCCTTCCGCTTGAAATAAAATAAGTAGTATAATACAGAAGGCAACTTTCTGCCACCGAAATTGAAATGAAAGAAAAGGATTCTTGAGCAAAACAAAAAAATCTTTGTATCTCTGCTGATATCTCTTTGTGCGTGTCCTGTTGTGTGTGTGTGTGTGTGTGTGCGAGTGTGTGTCTGTGTGTGAGTGCTGGTGTCCTGGCCGTAGAAACTTTTTGTGAGGGCCCAGGTCCTTTCTGGCGTTTCATACGCTCAATTGCTGGTGGTTAGCCGAGCCCGGCTGCGTGTTCTGGTCGACAGTCAATTGAAAATGAAATTGGTAAAAGTTAGCAGAAACAGAACCGAAAACTCGAGCCACCGCCTCGATGTGTGTGGCATCTGGGCATCTGTTCTTTTGAGATGTCGAAGGGGAGTGAGAGCTGGTTTACGTGCGGACAAGCATGCATAATGAGCCCCACGATCCTTTTACCTGGATGCGGGTTACCTTTGCAAATTAATACTAAAGAGACGCGTAAAAGTATGCAACGCCAAGTAGCAAGCAGCTACGTGCCTGCTGCAGGGTGTCCCTGTTTCGCCGAACTCTTGTTTTATGAATACTTTTCCCTACTTTACTCTTTGATCATAAACCAAAAAAAAAATATGTACGAAAAGTTGCTTTTGTTTGGCGCATATTTTATCAATGGACACGTCCTGTTGTTGGCAATTTTTATAGATTCCATTTTTGAGTGCATTTGCTTGTTGCGTTGACTACGCTTATTCCCCTATATTTTGTGTGCTTTGTCATTTTTTACGATTCATCGGCGAACAGTTTGGCTCATACACACTTTGTGACAGATTGTAGAAGTTACTAAGTTTGGTGCAGTGGAGACAAGGATTCTTTCCGGATGGGATTAACAGGATAACGTTTAAGAGTAAACATAAAATGTGTGAAGTTTGCCACAGATTATTAAAAAATCACTTTAAGTCCGAGTTTCGTTTATAAATCGGAGATGTATTTACTCAAGGAAGATAGAATAAACAAAACCTTTGTGTTTAAAGGAAAAATTGCTTTGCTGAGAAAAAATGGAAAAATAAATTTTATCGGCAGAAAAAAAAGTAAAAGCATAATAGATATATTTTTGTACGATTTTTTGCAGATGTTTTCTTATACGATTTGGCTTGCCGTTGTGATTATGATATTATTATATTTCTACAAATGTACAGACTCGGAACATAAAATTATTCTTTTTCCCACTGCTTTTTTAAGGCTTAAAAAAAACCATATTTTTATCTTTATACTTATTCTGTTATGTTGCCTGTCGATAAAAAAAACTTTATCCTTAGCAGGACGTTTAATAGCTTAACTTGCCAAAACATTTCTTAACTTTTCACGAATTTTGATGTCAAATTTTTGTTTTTAATGGATATACACTTAAAATGTAATTTTCAAAATTACTTACTTTTCATAAAAACTCCAAAAGCCAGCAGATAGTCATCATTGTTAAAATCAACTTTGCCTCGACTTATTATTTTCACATCTGAAAAGTAAAGAAAAGAAAAGATAGAAATATTTTTGCTTATAAATTCTGCATAAGTATAAATGTGGTAATAATTGCGAAGTATAAAATATTTTCATTTCGACATTTCTCTCGTTCGTTCCTTAATTTTTGTGGAGAATTTATGTCAAAGCAAAATGCTGTTTGCTTTTCCATTTGCCTAATTTTGTTTGCAATTGATAACGGAGACATTTTTTTCTATTTGCAATTCAAAGTTTTTAGGTCTGAAATGGGATACAAATGCAATTGAATTTTTTTGTTTTAGCTTTTTCTGAACATTTATGCAAATGAATTTGATATCGAACATTTTCATCTGGAATTCGATTTTAGTTTCTGCTGAATATTTTCCAATGGAATATGTATGAATATGCCTATCTGACTGGCATAGTTGTTAATCCTAATAAATGGTGACATGGTAATTGTTTGTCAATAGTGAAAATAAACAATAGGTGTGCCCGAAATAATTAAATTCCTTTTTGTATGCTATGCTTCAAAAGTAAATTCACATGCAAATTAATAGAGTTTCACATTATAAAAGCTTTTGACTTTTACCCCGACGTTGTAAGCCCCCATCAACATTTTTTTATTTTACAGAAAACTAACATTATTTCAAATGTTAAAAACTCAGCAGAAAAATACAATTTTTTTAAAAAGATCGAAATTTTTTTTTTGTTTAAATGGCACTTGAAATATTGGTATTGTTGTGATTTAAATGTCCAAATAACAATAAGTGATTGACAAAGAACCACAATGCGCGGTTGCAAAAAGGAATTTACGTGTTGTTTATATGGCACTCAAATAAATTAATCAGCTCGATTTTTATGTTTATCACTCTCTAATTGCATTTATTGTGTTGTAGGAATTTTACGGACAGTCCCGCAGCCCCTTTATTTTTGTGGCATTATTAGCAAACGCACTCGCATACAAAAGAAATCGCACATAAAAATTTATTACGCCACGCCCAGCACTCCGAACACCGCCCCAATTGTTCCACGTCAAAGCCGCATAAAAATAAATACAAATAAGAGGGCGCGAAAGTAACGAAAAAAAGGAGGAAATAATATCTTTGTGGCGGGATACTCACATGAGCAACAAATGCAGTTCATCGGCAGATCTTCCATTTTCTTAGCTTATTGTTTGGGTATTTTTGGCAGTTTTTCCCACGGCGGCTGTGTCGTTTACATATCGTTTCGTTTTTGGCCCTCTTCTCCAGTTTCTGGGCCACGTTGCGCTGTCTAAACGATTTACGACACTTTTGCCAACTGCCTGACGCACACATTTGCAATATTGTTTGTTTGTAAGTTGGTGTGTGTGTGCGGGGGCGAGTGTCTGTGATATTAGCATTAAACAAACGCGCACACAAACACACAGGAGTTAACTTGGCCAACAGGCAACACAAAAATGCCACACACGTTCGTTTTTATTATGTTAAATGTCTCCTGGGACCTCGAACATCAGCATCTGCAAGTTGTTTCCATCTGTTTGGTTGCTTTCTTCTTTCTCCTTTCTCTGTTCCCCTTTCTCCTCTTCTTGGCTTTTGCTAACTGTCACTTGGCTTGTCACATTTCACAATCACTTAGACGGCAGGATTAAAGCAGGAGCGCGCCAAAAAGTATGCTACCCAGCAAAATTAGCACAGGACAATTGGTTCTCGCTTTTTTCGAACTGTTCTGGTTCGGTTTTCTGCGAAATGTCCTGCCTGTGCGTCCTTTTAGCCGATTTCAGCTTACTGCCCGCCGCTCCAGTTGAGACTGACGACTGGCGAACGACGGTCAAAGTCAATGGCGGGTTTTTCGTGGATGCGATTCGTTTTCACCTTCGTCGGTGAGTTCGGTTCGCTTTAAAACGAACATTTCCGATTTATCAACGGTGAAAGCTCATTTTCACCCTTAGCCTACTCTCTTTTTGTGAGTTTTTGCTGAGAAGGACTTAGCTGCTTTTATCTCATCGTAAACAGTTCTCTTAGGTCTTATGTTTCTAGTAGAAACATCTCTCAAAATTTGATTTCGAGTTGAGCTAAAATATGAGTAATGATACAAAGGCCCCTGTTAACATTGGAGTCTTTTAAATGCGTTTACAGATCCCATTCTAACCATTTCTCTTAGACTCAGTGAAACGAGTCGCATGGTCCCAGCTAAAATGGCTCAAATTTGATTTTGAGTTGGGTTTCACAAACTAAAAGTGACTGTTAAAATAAGTTTAAGCATCTAAGAGAATTTTTCTTTCCTCTCCACTGTTATGGAACAAAAATCCTTAAAATATATTAAACTCAATGTTGAGGAAGGCAGCTCTGCTAAGAAATAGTTTCTTTTTTAAATTTTTAAAATTTTTTTTTGGGTTTGATTAAAATTTAATTTTTTGAAAATTAATAATGGCTGTTAAAATACAATTTAGTTTTACAAAGTTCTATCGTAAAATATAAATAAATCTCCGTGGACGAATTTTTAAGTTAAAATTATAAACTCAAAAAGTGCTCAAGAGCTGTTCTTGCCAAAAAATCTCTCCAATTGTTACGCTGTTAACCTTTTCTGAGTAGTTCATTTTATTGAGCATTGCTTCGTGCGAAACTCACTTTTGAGTGGATGGCATCGTCCACTTTTTCTCTTTCATCGCTCATACGTTCGGCATCCGAATTTGCTCGGCTTTTCCGCTCTCTGGTAAATCCACCACACTCGACTCGGTCGGAGCATCCTCGTGCTCGCTGGAGGACCCTTCGGGTCGAGTGGCGACACACAAACGCACACACTTGACTCACGGAAAAACACGAGCACGGCTGCTCCTAGCCTTAGCCAATCGTAAAAGTTTTGTACGTATTTAGTACAATTTCGGGATTTGGCAGGATGTAACGAACGTGTAAGAAACAGAGCGCGTCCTCTTCACCGTGTGCGATAATCAACAACAAGCGACGCGACAACAAATTGTATATTCAAAAAATCTGTAAAAATCTAACAAATCGTTTGAAGCTGTTTTCAAGTGATATAACGAAATATATGGATATATAATGCAATAGCAAAGAGAAAATCTATAGAAATTCGCCGGCAAAAAAGTGATTTTAGTCAAGTTAACCAAAAACCAAATCGTCGAAGTCTTCGGCTTGCCTCGGTTCTACAATGCTCCCCCGCCCCCCTTTCTTGTACTCGTATGTGTATATGTTTTTGTGAGCGTGTTTTGCCGCAAGCCGGTTAAAAATTTTCTATATTTACACCACCCACAAGTTGAGCTAAATTTCCCGTGAAACATAATTAACGAAGAACAACCAAAGCCGCCGATAATACCTGGCAGAAAAAAAAAATTGGTAAAATCTATAGAAGAAAAATTATCAGAACCTTTGTGTGTGTGTGTGTCCCGGATGGCTTTATATTACGTATAAATAAAGATAAAGTCCTTATCGTTTGGACCAGCTAATAAGAAACGCCAATCTTCTCCCTTTCGAGATGGAGATTGAAACCATTGCCCAGGGAAGAGAATCTTTTTTATTTCGGGGTCCCCATCCTTTCTTCAGTAATAGTGTCGTTTCCTTTATTTGTCCTTTTATGTTTACCTTTTTTTTTGTGTTCCCTCGTTTCGTCGTGGTTTGGTTTAGTTTGCTCGCACACAATTGAAAATTCAATTGATTTACAAAATGAAGTTTACTGGTCGACAGATACTTTTTATCTATTTTCATTTGCAGTTTTACGAGCAGCTACCATTTTTTTTCTTTCCTTGCCTGCTGCCTTCGGGCTGACTTGATTTTGGCTTAAAGCAAAACCGTTGGCAATTTTTCACAGTTCCTTTGCGATTGGGTGGGCCTTAAGGGGTATCTGCAGTTTGGTGCGAAAAAACCGCTGCCTTCGAGAAGGATTGTTGTGGCTGATGTTTTCGTTGGTTTCCGATTCGGGTGTGCCGAGTGTGTGTTTGTGATTGGAGCGGCCTAAAATCGTTTTAGGACCAGCTGCGAAGTGATTTCCAGCAACGGAAAAAAAAGGACTGCAGTGTGTGTGGAAAGTGGGTTCTGCAGATTGACACAGTTATGTTCTCGGCGAGTAATGGGAAATCCTTGGCAAGAGCTCAAGAAAACTTAAGTTTTCTTTGGGGCTGACCTTACAAGTGCTTGACCAATTTTTATATCTTGGTTAAAGACCCAGTCCGAATTTATATTAAATTCAGAGTCAAATAAGATGATGAAGTAATACAGTATTTTATTCTTAATATTGAAAGTAAATTTTTCAAATGATGTACAAATTTCGAGTCCTTATTTTTGCTTAATCCTTTTTTTTAATTTCTAAGCCAAAGAAATTCTTTACTAAGTGTGCTCTTGTGAAAGAGCAATGTTTGTGCTCTTGTGAAAGAGCAATGTTTGATGAAAATCCAGAGTCCTTTAGTTCTATTTGGTTATGTCAAAGAATTTAATAAGCATAAAAGCTATTTGTAGCAATTGAGATTCCTTTGAGTAGGTAGAAACCAGAAATATCAGATAAAACCACTGGCTTTCTTTGAATTCTAACTTAGCTGAACTACATTTTTAGAATGCTAGTTATATTGCAATTGCCAAGCCGATTCGGCTGTGATATCAAAGCTGTTCTCAAAATGCAAGCTATGTAGCAGCAAGGTTGCACAAAACTTCTTTGTGAATTAATAAAGCTAATTTAACCTTTCGTGTAAATGCCTCCTTAATGCTCATTAAAGTACTTTTGGATTTTAAATAGCAAAATGTAAAGAATTTTGTTAATACTTTTATTTTGCTCAACCTAAAATGGTTTTTACTACTTGCCTGAAGGAACATTCCCCGTTTTTGTGCCAAGTGTTTTTTTTAATAAGGAGAAATGACTTTCTTTTCAGTCAGACATGAATAAAGGTTATAAACCAAACCCGTTCTCATCTGCCAGAGTAATATATTATGCATACGCCACGTATAATGAATACCCAAAATAGCCTTCGTATATAAAGAGAATTATTGTGGAAACCAGAAATCATTAGATCTTGTTGTCAACAGCTATAACATTTGAAGCCACAGGATATTTTATGGCTACCATTAACCTAATTGAAATGATATCCGTGATATATCATTCCAAGGCTAAAACATATGTGTTTCGGGGCTAATTAGGTGCTGACCAACCAGAGATTACAATGCAATTTGTTTATTATATTAAAACGTGGATAGTTAATAGATTGATTACTGATGAATAGGGGAACTGAGTTTCCAGAAATGCTAATAGAAAATTTTCCACTTACCTTTTCCTTACGGGGCTGAGCTAAAACCCAATTTCAACGTGGCCTCTTCAGTTTGTTCAAATAGCGTTTTACCAAACGTTCGTCATGGCGTGGCTGGTATTATATATATACATATATAGGCGTCTGATCGGCCACGCCCACGCTTTCCCTGGTTGTTGTTGACGTTTACAATTTGGTGTTGAAAACTTCAGCCGGCAATTGGGTAATACTTGCGATGATGGCGTTGGTTGGATGACTGCAGCAATCCTGCATTAAGTACCCGCCTGTGTGTCTGTATTTGAGCGAAGGGGTTTGCAACAAAGAAATTTTAATTTATATAGAATGAGTTGGGGGCGTTGTGAAGTTGGGAAGGTAGTACCTTTCACTCCCTCTGCAGTCGTCAACATTCCGATGTTCGTGCACTGTGCTCACAGTGCACTCACTCACTCGCACATGAACACCAAAAAAAATCCAATTATTTTAAAACTTTTGACAACTGCAACAACAAGCAAGCGTTGCGATGCGAGGCTATGAAAACAATAAGAAAACTGACTGCCAGCCAGAGGCAACAAAAACAATATATATAGAGGAGAAAGTCGAAAGTCCGCAAAAAATCAAGCAGAAAAGAGTGTGAGAATGGTTGAAAAGGGTTGCCAGCCATTATAACTTCACTTGAAAAGTTTAATTGATTTTTACAAGTGCATATATATGTAGATGGACGTATGGAAAGGGATTTTGTGGGGGGTCAGCCAGCCTACCTGCAGTCGTGGTTTTTTACTCTTTTTCGTTTAGCTAAGTGGGTCTATAACTTGGTGTAAACAAAGTAGATGCAAAGGGGTAACAAGGGGTAACAAGAAAAGAAATCAAAAGCAGAATTGCCTCATGAACTGAGGTGCAAATTGGTTAGGCTCTTCCAATTGGTTTGGTTTTTTCTTTACTTTTCTTTTTGGTTTGTTCAATTCTTGCCTGACTTTTAGGTTTTTCTTTTGGCTGCTAAACCTGACTTTTTAATTGCTGCTGAGTGTGCTCCTGTTACTGTAATTATTGGGTTTGCCTTTGAGGGATTTGCTTTTAGGTGATTGCCTTAATGAGTGCTTCACGTTAGGCAAAGAGCTTGGAACCGATGCAATTTACCGTGATTAAGTTTATTCGCAGCAGAGCATTTAACTGAACTCCATTGCAAAGGCACATATTCTGTAATTTAGTTGTGGATTTTACAGTCAATTTAGATGAGATCTCAAATTTGGTTCCCTTTATTTAGGCTTAAGAGTACTTGGTACGAAACTTGATTTTTTGTTTAGTTAATTACTTGGAAATATCAATTTCCAACCATACTCAAAAATAGTTCACATTGGTAGTAAAGTATAATTCTTTAGGTTTTCAAACTGTCAAGTAATCTTTTATATTCTGAAAATATATTATCTTTATGGGCTTTTGTAATTATGTTTATTTTAAGTTCAACTGATTGAATTTCAAATGAATTTGTTATATTTCCTCGACAACACAATTTGTTTTTGAATTTTTAAAGCACATTTCAAAATTTATTTGTTTTTCTCAGAGTCAGGCATTTATTGTTAAAAATATATTTGTTATTGAATTTTGCAAGCTAAACGAGTCCAATGGATTTTCACTTTTCTCCTTTCGCCACAAAACCACACACAAAGGTCTTTGACAATTTAAGCCAGGTCGACTGACTTTTATCCTTAACAATTGTTTTTTCCTCTTTCTCCCCTTTCTTTTGTGCGTCCCTTTTTTTTTTGCAGGATCCAACCGGCAAACAGCATTGAATCGCAACAAAACAAAAAATAAATAAACCAATAAGACAAAAGAATAAACTGCATATCTCAGATTATATTTTAGATATAAATCATATAAATATAAGAGTTCTTTAAGTATTAAGTTCAAGCTTAGGCAGGTAAGGGTATTTGGTCAGATAAGTAACAACAGCTTCCCTCCACATGGTAACCACAATATGATGGCGATATCATCGCTACGACGACTGTAATATACTTGGCGATTGGAACTACAAAATGTCGACAACAATCAATATGTGTGATCAACAACGACAACAACAAATTTTACAACTGAATGCGACGTGACGACAACAATTGCAAATATTTATAACGCATACGACATGTTGCTATCATGCCAATAATGATGATGACATCGCATTTACTAACACATCTTGTAATATCCGATGATTTTCGGCTTGCGAAAATGTATTTAACGAACGATTGAAACACTGATGTTTAACTACGACTACAAAATAATATAAAATCAATTACAAAACACACGCACCCTTGACACAAATACACACACCAAATACACCTCCACTTTCCCACAAAAAAAAAAAAATTATTTGTGTTGATTTTTCCTATCGACTTGGCTTTTTGGCACCTGCAGCAAAAGCTAAAGTGCCATTTGGCGAACGAGTGAGTGTGTCCGTCAGCCAAAGAGTAAGTCTGACAGAGACATAGCCCGTACTGTACTGTGTAAATAAAAGCATTTAAAAGTTATTAACCATTGTTGTTGTTATCGACTGTCGATCCCCCCAATTTCCGACGCAAATATATCGAAATAATGGGTCTGCAGATGACAGCAGCCAGTCCAATTGCTGCTTCCAGCCTATTAGTGTTGTTCTTGCTCACCTGGACGCCTACTAACGTCGATGCATCCCGTAAGTATTCTTACTAAACTCTCCTTAAAAATGAAAATTATGCCTAAGAACTATTTTTATATACTTGACATTTTTTTTTCTCTAGCCGTATTTATTCCGCCACTTTACACGCAAGTTAGGCTAAGTTTTCGTTAAGTTCGCTCTTAATTTTGAACATTCTAGCCAGTGAGTTCAACTTTTAAGTGGAGTTGAGTTTACTTGGATTTCAGCTAAAGTTCGCTCGGTTCAAGTGTTAAATTTAACTTGAAGAGCATAATATTTATAAAGCTCAAGTATTCTAAAAATAAAGAAGAATTTTTTAATCAGTTGAAGCTCAAATTAGCCAAAGCGGAAACCAGGCAACTAACTTGAAAATTTATAATTAAAAGTGATGAATAAGGATGTCGATAAGTTTTCCTAACAAATATGGCTGCACAGTTTTCTTACTAATTAGCATGTTTTAAGCATATTAAACCACAAAATAGCAACTTGTATGTTTAATAAAGAAAACTGAACTTAAAAAACAAAATAAATCTTACTGTCTATAATTTAATAGAAAAACCGGAAAATTAAAATTAGTGTCTTCCCCCAAAAGCACTGCCCTAGTATTCTGTACATTCTTGCTAATTAGTAATCATAGAATTCCTGTTTTTCCCTTTGCATACATTTGAAATTCAATTACCAATGCCACCTAAGTCCAATTCGCTCCACTGAAGCCATTTTCGTCACTTAAGAGAAAGGAAAAACAAATAACAATCAAAGTGTTGACATTTCAGAATTGCAGTCAAATGTGCCTCATATTTTGCGCCAAGGCCTTTTGTGGAAGTGTCGAGGCTGACTTCTGCCTCCTGGCGCTATCCACTCGCCGTGGCACTTACCTTTCATAGACGCTTCATTTCATTTTGAGGGTTGGGAGGGGAAATGGAAAATGGGAATGGGAATGGGTGGCATGAAGCGGGGTACGTGGAGCGATAAACAAGCTGCAGGGGACAGAGTCAGAAAAACAGGCAACACAAACATTGCACATCCTGATGTATTTTCTGGTTTTGTTGCCTTTTTATTTGTTGTCGTTACTGGAGCTGCTGCTGCTGCTTTTGCCTGGTTAGCCTGCAGTTTGCAGTTTGCAGTTTGTCGCACCTCTTTTTGTGTATGTGGCATTAAATTGAAATTTATGCGGCACTTTGCCGCGTGAAATGTTTGTACAACTCGTTGCGGGTTGCGGCTTGCTGGTGTTTTTTTTTCTCTCTGTGTTTTTGGTGTGCTCCCCTTTTTGTTTTGTTGACAGACCGACAAACTGTTGGACAGCATTGCAGGGGAAAGTATCTAAAAACATATGCAAAACTGTTTGCTGTTTGCCATGTAAATGGTTTTTGGGCACCCCCACAAATCCAGCCCACTTCCAGCTTTTTTCCGGCCCTTCCGTCCGCCCACTTTTAGCCAGCTAATTTGTCGTTTGTTGGAAATTATGACACAAAAGCCCCGCTCGACAATTGCCGACTTAACTCAACTGGCGCGCTCTGTCCAGCTCCGAAATATATTTCACGCAAAGGGAACTTATTTCACTTTTGGTTTTTGCAACAAGTTTTAATTAATTTGCCGCAACTCCAGGCTCCAATGCTCCAATCTCTTGCTTTCCTTTCATTCCACTCATCAGCGGCGAAAAAAAAAATGAAGGAGGAAAAAGTTGATGCTACGATAATTTGAAAAGTTTTCGTTTAGACAGCGAGTGGGAGCAACAAAAAAAAAAAAAAACACAAAAAAAAATGGGAATGTGGAACAGCAAATGTCAGAGCGACGGCCTGGGAAAATCGCTTCCTAATTTAGAGGCGAACGGCACTAAACTATATGTGCGTACACCCATATGCTATATTAAGCCGCAAATAAATGCCGAGCCATAATTAACATATAGCAAAAGTTTTCCCTCCAAAGCCGCAAGTTAAACTACGCGAGGGCGGAAAAGTGTCTGGATGAAATATGGTTAAAGTCGAATTTCGCTCGTGTTTGCTTTTGTGGGTAGAAGTAATCCGAAATTGATAACTTTCAGCTTGATGGAGTTCGCCAAGCGAAAGGTAATTAAACAGTAGACGTGAGAATAATCGTTGGGGGTAGGAAAATTCCAAGGCTGGCAATCACAAATCAATTCGAAAAGTTTTCCTATGGTTATTAGGGTGTTCGGGACTTTTTATCTTAGTATATGGATATACGAAAAAAAAAAGAAAAGTGTTAAAGAAAACTATTAAATACTATTAAAAATAGGCATATATTTTTTGATATTTATAAACAACATTAAAGAATGTAAAATATCTGTTAGTCAGTCATTAAATATTTCAAACAGTTTCAGTCAGATTTCTCAGGCTACAAGTTCAAATTGATTTAACAATATAAAATTTCAGGATATTAGGAAAATTCCTATCCCGAAATAAAGGCAGAACGCCCATCAATTGTATTTCCTGGCAGTTGGGCAAATGGCAAATGTCCGAAAGAAAATGCGTGTGCAACTGGCTAATGCCGCATATCATTATTATAGCAGACATCCCATATAGAAATACTCACGATTCGCATATATCTGAGTTGTTCAACAATAATAATGTCCTGGCATTTATCACATTTTTTTTCGCGTTGCTCGCTGCCGGACAAGTGACCAGCTAAAGTGGCTCTAAAATTTCAGTGCCCAAATGAGTGGAGGCCCCACCTCCCACTTAGTGGGTTACAAAACAGGAGAAAAAAAATAAGAGGAGCGACGGAAGAAAAGACGGAATGAAAGAAAGATAAATAAATGTTGGCAACAACAAAGAGCAAAGCGCCATAAATCTAAATAACAAATTTTTACGAGAAGCGAGACCATAAATAAGATGTTTGTTGCGGCCTAGCGAAAAATAGTGTGGACCTCTGAGGGGGGATCCCGAAATTGTACGGACCATTCCACATTTCCCATTTCCCAGAGGTTGTCTCTGGCCAAGCGGCAACAATTCATGAGAGTTCTGTTAATTTAATATTATTACTTTTCATTACAACAAGGCACATCTCTTTCCTCTTTTTTTTTGGCCGAAATGGCTGTTAGTTTTTTTTTATTTATATGTTTTTTGGGGCAAGGGCATAGGAATGCTGCCCCAAAATGTCAACACATTAATGTGAGAGGAGTCGGCCGCCTTAAGATAAATCAACATTTATCTGCGGCCATTGCTGACAATTGAAAATGACCGTCTATATCTTACGGCTAATTATGGCCTATTAAAAGTACGAAATGTATTTTTGGCAAAAAGCCCATATTTATCAATGTTGAAAGGAAAACCAATGTGGCAATCTAAATAGGAATTCATAAAATGTTGATGGTTTGTATTATCTTATAATTTTGCAAAGTCTTAAGAAGAATTGTAAATATTATAACCATTATTATACTTTCTAATCGAGTAAATTTTGTTTTTTTTATTTAAGAAATATATAAGCAACATGAACCTACTTTTACTTTTACTTTCTTCGCTTAAATTGTTTGACTTAAAAACCTTAAAGTAACATTTTATGCAAATACTTGCATTTGGCTTTTAACTGTCTCAGGGACAGTTATTTTCTGGACCACTTTTACTGACCGTTTAATTAGAAAAAATGTTAATTAAATGCTTGGCTGAATTCGTACTTGACTTGTTCGGGGTGAATCGGTGTGTTTTCGGTGAATTTGGCACTTGTTCGTTTGTTTTACTGCCGTTTGCTGACGCCGGAAAGTATGCCACCAGCACCCACGGCCATGAATACTTATACAGATAGCTACACTCACAACACGATGACAATTGTTTGCCCATATGTCCCAGTCATATTTTCGACAAGCCGCAAAAAAACACAAAAAAAACAACCGCAGAGGGCAGTGAAAAACTGAACATTTTGCCGCGAACACTTTTCATGTAAATGGCGAAAAATAAAAGTTGGTCGGCGGAGGAGTGTGTGCTAAATGATTCATGAGTCATATGTGGACCGCGAATGTGGAGATTGAAGACTGTAGACTGTGGACTGCAGAATGTGTGTGGACGAGTGTGTTTGCGTTGGGCAGAAAAGTGCTTAACTCGTAATTTTTGTTAGCGCTACGTGCAAATAAGGCCACTGAGGCCGGACAGCTTTTCCGCGCTTTTCGCTTTCTCCTTCTGCCCTTTCTCCTTTCTCCATTTCTCCTCAGCTCACTGGGCTTTCTACTCCTGGTTTTTTCTTCTATTCCCTCCCACAGCAACAATTTGAGTGCATTTTATTGTAGTTGTGTGTGCTGGCTGCGCATGAATATTGCAGCTGATGAGCCCCTGAGCAACGGCAAAAAGGGTCAAAACTTTTAATTAATGTTTATGGCTGCACTGCGGTACCGAGTGACTCGCAAGCCTTTTAAGTTAAATTTATAAAACAATTTTTTTTCCGCTCGGTTTTCATCTTTGTCTTGGCTTCGGCCTAAGACCACAGACTTTGTTAAATTTTAATTAATATTTTCGGGAAATTTTCCCATGTGACTCAAACCAATTTAATCGATTAGGGGAGCTTGGTTTGTACAAATAAAATATTCAAGGCACACTTTCAAGGGTGCTGATGGTGGCGTAAAAAAAAGTTTTTCTTTTATTTTTTATTCTCATAATTTAGTACTTGCGTGGGTGTGTGATTAAAGTTACTTTATGAGTTCTTTTTGATTTGAATTATTATCAATTTATAGCTTATATACAGCTATGATTATATTAATGGTAGTAGTATTAATAAGAGACTCATTTCAATTACCAAGAATGTCTTTTGAGCAATAAATAAACTTTTTTTCCATATTGTAAAGCTTACTGTATAAGTTTTCTTCATTCAGTAAACATAATTATTATAAGAATATTAAAAAAGTTAGTTAACGTCTTGTTGAACTAATAAAGAAAATATATAAAAACAACTTTATGGTATAAAAGCTAAGCGTATAATGGCCTAGTTAATAAATTAAATTTGCGAGATACAGCACTTTAAGGATATTGGTAGCACAGTTTTAGGTAAACAATCGTTCCGTCAGCAATCTTAAC